CATGTGACAATAAATGTGCGGTCCTCAAATTAACCCTTTGCACATGAAGACACTTTTGTTATAGCTTCAGCTGAAATAACCACTGCACTGAAATGCAAAAGTTTTCTTTTTATAAACCTATCACATTAATGTCTCTTGGAAGGGCCGGCGGGTGTAAAGAGTTAATTGCATTTTACTTCCAAAATGTCCCGTCACATTAAAATGAGACTATCTCGATGAAGAAAGGAATAATTCCAACAAATTATATACTAGTGGACTCGCGAGATGGGGATATGTTGCAAAATACACTAGAATTTGGTTTTCGGACTCTTGTGCTTTTTTATTCTCGCTTCTGCTTCCATACATGCAGTAACAGATATGAATAGGCTCGAAAAATCATCTTTTTACGACCTATGGATTCACGTATGACAATAATATTCTCAATTTTAACGGAAAATCCGATATTTTAAGAAATTAATATAGCACTCGTACTGACTAATCGACTAAAAAGATTCAGTTACATACTCATGAGATATTGTGTTTGAAGGGAAAGTGGCGAGGTTCTCGTCAAAATCCAGTTTAGACTGCGACTGGAACGAATCCTAGTGCTCTTATTTGCTGGATAACTTCTTATTTTTAACGGACTATCAGCTGAAAGCCTTTCTTCCTGATTATTCACAGGGTATTCAAGGTACTGACGTTGCCAAACAAGCGAGTGATATCATATTGACTGATGATAAATTTTCAAGTATTGTCAAAGCGATGATGTGGGGTAGAAATGTCTATGACTGCATCGCCAAATTTTTACAGTTTCAACTGACAGCGAATTTATCAGCCGGAATTATCTCGGTTGTATCAGCCGCCGCAATAAGCGTAGGTTTAACTGTTATTAAAAACTTTCAATTAGTTGATTCTTGCGTATTAATTTTAGACTGTTCCGCTGCGAGCTGTGCAAATGTTATGGGTGAATTTAGTCATGGACACACTGGCATCGCTTGCACTCGCCACAGAGCCGCCCACCGAGCCCTTGTTGGAACGAAAACCATACGGCCGAACGAAATCGATAATATCAGGGATCATGTTGAGAAATATAATTGGTCAGGCGATCTATCAGCTGACAATTATGTTCGTTCTACTGTGGTCTGGTGAGGGGATGAACCTAGACTAATTTCTCATTAGTCATATTGACATATTGTAGGTGATTATTTTTTGAGACGAGGCGTTTCGACGGTTGGTCGAATCGGCAACGATCCGAGTCTTGGAAAGAAGCCGTCAGAACAGTTCACCGTTGTCTTCAATTCGTTTGTATTGATGACACTGTTCAATGAGATTAATTGTCGAAAATTACATGGTGAACGAAATGTGTTCTCAGGACTACTTCGAAATCCATTTTTCTATTGTATATGGATCGGATGTTTTGTAGCACAAGTAAGTATTCATTTCACATGGAACCATAGACTCTAGAGAGAACCTAGAAGTAGTGGACCATAGGTAATCGATAATCCTGAATCTGAATCTGACCTTGGTTTTTCCCGCTAGGCCTTACAAATGCCGATTTCTGGAAAACGGATTTTCCAGAAACTCAAAAAAAATAACCAAAGCGGTTTTTAATGCGGCATGATTGTAGCCCGAAAATTTCTGATTAAAATGAGACGTCTTTCAGCTCTACATGACCTTTCTTTGCAGAGTTATAGAATTTACAAGAAAAGCCCTGTTCATTGTCAGCTC